GCTCAGGTATTTCCATCTTTTAAATAAGCAAAAATATGTTGTTGTTGTTGTTGTTGTCATCATCTTTGTCTTAAGTTTCACATATAATTGCATCATATTATAATCATTGTTTTTCCTTAGAGTGTTTTTTTCCTGAAGGAAACTTGAATATGCCAACTAAATATACGCCCTCCAAGATAAAGACACTTTCAAAATAATAGAGAATTATAGACAAGTAGTGTTGCTGCCTAGTGTTGAAATCTTGCCATGAAATCCTGGCATCTTTATTCTTTAGCAGTTCTCAAATAATAGAAAAAAGTTAGTACAGGGGCAGGTCTTTGGGAGAACAAAAACATTTCTCAGTGAAGGTTCTAGGTGTACATATTAGGCAGTACAACAATTATATGTTATTACAGAGCAGAGTTTTCTGCAGGCAACTTGAATAAGCCTATTCAAATTCGTGATGTTTATGGCAGTGCCCTTACCCTTTTCTCTCTCTTTTTTTTAATTTTAGGGCAATGTGTATGTGAAGTGCCCATCAATTGCTGCAGCCATTGCTGCTGTCAATGCATTGCATGGCAGGTGGTTTGCTGGTGAGTTTGATCTTTTCTTCTAAGTGATTATTAAGACTAATTAATGGAAATGAAGATGTTAAACTACCCATATCTGTTTGTTTTCTTTCCCCAACAGGTAAAATGATAACAGCAGCATATGTACCTCTTCCAACTTATCACAACCTCTTTCCTGATTCTATGACAGCAACACAACTACTGGTTCCAAGTAGACGATGAAGGAAGATACAGTCCCTTATGTACATAGCTCTTTTTCTTTCTTGAGAATTCATCTTGAGTTATCTTTTATTTAGATAAAAATAAAGAGGCAAGGGTCTACTGTCATTTGTATACAATTCCTGTTACCTTGAAAAAATAAAAATGTTAACAGGAATTCAGTGTGCTCATTCTCCCTAACTAGCAAATCCCACTGTATACAAAGCTGTTGTTCTCTTGTTCTGCCTTTTAAATGTACATGTAGAAAATTACATTAAAGATCTATAGGAATAGCTCTAGGGAAACAAATGTGCTTAATGTAAAAAGGCAGACAGGGATATGATGTTTTTAATGTCTCATTTCAGAAGCCTAACTTTTTACACAGCAGTTACATTTCACATTTTCGCTAATGTCGATCTTAGCCAATGGTTTAGCAGAGGTTTCTGAAATACACAGTGTATGGAAATTCAAGACAGCTAAAGGGCTGTTTGATTAACATCTCACATTCTGATCAATTGGCAAGAAAAGGTTTCAAAATTCCATTTTTGGATGGTATCTTTTCAATTAATGTATCTGTAAAAGTTTCTTTGTAAATAATGTGTTCTGGTGTGTCTTAAGGTTCCAAACAAAATGATCCCTGCATTTCCTCAAGATGTTTAGTGACAGTCTGGTAAGCAAAGCAGTCTGAGCAAGAAATAGGAAATGCAGAAATAGGTTTTGTCTGGTTGCATATAATCTTTGCTCTTTTTAAGCTCTGTGAGCTCTGAAATATATTTTTGGGTTACTTCAGTGTGTTTGACAAGACAGCTTGATATTTCTATCAAACAAATGACTTTCATATTGCAACAATCTTTGTAAGAACCACTCAAATAAAATTCTCTTAAAAAGGCCACAAGAAATCTTCATTTTTGAAATGTTTTAAAACCATAGAAACACGAAAATAGAGTTGCTTTTTGACCTTTTGTAGTTACTTGGTATTTGCTGCTTTGGGAAAATTCTTACCAGAGTCTGGATGAAGTCATGCCCTTAAGTTGTCTCTGTATGTTCCTGTATCACTATATCTTGGCACTTTGCTTAGGGTAATTTATCACAATGGGTTTACCAAAATATGCTTTACAATTTAAAAGTAACAAAAAATGATGAGTTCTAAGTGATTTTCTAAATTGATTGCATTGGTTACTTTATTACGGGATTTTGAGTTTTAACTTTACTTGGGTAGTAAGCCTTCACCATTTATACTCTTGACCCTGCTCTTAAGTTTTTTCTAAGTTGAACCTTTCTGTAGGCATTGTTGCACGTAATGGAATGGTTACCTGCTAATATGGATATCCTCACCTCATTTCTGTTTCTGTGGAATTGATCTAGCACTGAGGTACACGGTTTACACATTTATTCAGATATTTAATCCATTTGAACATGGAGGCATCACAATTTTATATCAACTCGAATAAAAAATTGCATTAGTTGCTTCAGTTATTTAAAGTGAAAAAATATTTTAAGATTAAAGTTTTTTGAACACTGGGCAGCAGTGTTCCTTGAGCTACTTACACTGTTGTTTTCTTTCTGAATTACCCATAGGTAAGTTTTTTATTAAGTCCTGATTCTATGAAGCTCTGTTACGCTTTTTCAGGTACAGCAGTGGTGTCCATAGATAGGTATGTTCAAAGTTTAAAGAAGCAGGGAAACGTCAATTTCCCACTCCACCTCCCCCTGGGGAGATAGAACTGGCAACCTTTTAGGAAAATGTTCCAGTCAACTGAGCCACCTGGCCAGGATGCCATTGGTATATATTCCATAAAGGCAACAAAATTCAGCTCACTGCCACAGTAAAATTTGAGTTAATAGTGTTCAAAGCAAATGTAAGTTCACCAACTCTAGTAATATGCTCCATAGGAAGTAGTTGCAATTGCCATTCTGAGTGAAAACCTGGTAATTCATGACATCCTATTTGGGAAATGTAGCTGCTGTTGCTATTCTGGTAATTCCCGATTTTGGCTGCATCTGAGTGTCCTGTGTCCCCCAAATACTTTCTTACGTTACTATTTTCTCCAAATTTTGATAACAGTAATGGCAGTTTGTAACAAATCTATGAAGGGTCTCCATGTAGCCTGAGTAGATGAGAGGCATTTGATTCAGTAAGAACCTACCTATCAAGCCATTTAATAGACCTTTGTGATGGGAATCAATTGATAGGATTGCAACTTCAATTGATAGGAAGTTGCGAACTCCAACTTCTCTGGCAAAGCATTAGGTAGCAGGTTTGATTCCTGGTCAAAACAGAAGTCTGGGTTAGGGGTTGGTGTTAGGTTGGGACACTAGAGAGGCAACTGATGTTTTCCTTTTCTCCCTTACCCATCAAAGTCTTTTTAAAAAGCCATCTGGGATTGATGTAGTTGAGACAGTACAGAAGTGTGATGGTTTCATTTTGTTTAACAGTGGGTAACTGGTTCTCTGATCAAGCCAGGAGCTGTCTGGGCAAATATTTAGATTACCATGTCATTAAAAATAACCCATTTATGCACTGTGACCTTGAGGAAGTAAAATACACTTGTAGCTTCAGTTTTTCACCTTTAAAACGATAACATCAGCGTTGAAGGGATGGAAAATTAGGACTTAGTAGAATCTGAGAGGTTCCAGGTATGGAAAATATTAATGGGTCTCTTGAAAAAGAAACCTCAGCCTACCTCACAAAATCTCTAACTAAGCTGTGTAATGGGCTGAGAGAAAAAAATGCCTCCAACACACCAAGACTACTCAAAGTTTTTATTATAGTACATGGGTTGGGACTGATGGGATGGGGTGGAAGTGGGCAACCACTGCCTGGATTAGCATCGGATGCCCATCCCGATAGCCATGAATGTGCCAAAGGTGCCGCCACTCTGCATCATGGTTTTCCCGATGCCGCCCATCAGCTCCCGACCCCGCATTCCAATCCTGAGAGAGGAGGAAACCAAGAAGGGGCCAATGGGAACAAAAATACTGTACAGGGTTAACTACCCTTTTCCAGCGTGTGCTTCTAATGATGCATAGAGCTTTCCAGAAGTCTGGCAGGACATTATCCCCTCCCACATGGGATCTCAGACTGCCTTTAGTTTCTGGAAGGCAGCAAATGCAGTGCCAAGTACATGAAAACCATTTTTCTGTGGTTTTACCTCTAGAGTGTCTGTGTATGATCCCTACTGTTCCCTAGTGTTTAAAGCACGGTGGATTCATTTTACAGGCTGTGTCAAGTATAAAATGTGAATCAACAGAATTGTTAACATTGCAGCATTTAGCACAGTGATTGACAAGTGCTCAGTAAATGGTAATTTACAATCTGGAAAAATAGTCTATTAGGTGAAAATGACATTTAGGGTGTAGGGTTTATCTGCTTCAGTTTCTACCATCCTGTTCACAACAATACTGCTCAACAAGTATCTTTCACGACTCACAATTGGAAATAGCAGCGACAGTAAAAGCCATTTACTGAGCACTTACTATGTACCAGATTCTGTGCTAACTGTGCTCTGATTCGGTCCTTACAGCTCTATGAGGTAGGTATTACCTCATTCTATACTTGAAACGCAGGCTCAACCTGCCTAAGGTTACAGAGCGAGTAGGCGCCACCGAGGAGGTTTGGTTAGAGTTCACACACTCAAGCACCGAGGATTCCACCTGCCCATCCAGGCTGAAGGTGGTTAGAAAAATCAGTCTCGCTCAGAGGACCGAGAGGAGATTGAAACGAGTTAGGCTCTCTATTCAGGTTACAGGAATGGGGCGGGAAGGTCCGGGAGTCCCGCCCAGGGGTCACCACCCGCGCCCCTCACCTGAGACAGGAAAAGGTGCCGAAGAGCGCCCCCGCCGCCATGCCCACGGCGCAACCCATCACAAAGCCCATCTTCACGCGGTCGAAGCAACTTGGCTGGGACTGTCCATAGGGACCCACGGCCACCGGCATCTGTGAGATTCGAAGATCAAGGAAATGCAGGCCAGGCCGCCATCCCGAGAGTCAGGCGGGGGCCAGAGAAAAAGGGGATGGGGAACGTGCATAAGAGTTCGAGGAAATTCGGGAAGGAGAAATCAGAGACTAATCCGATTCCATCACCCTTTTAGCGTTCGGATCCCCGAGCCCCAACCTCACCTCGCTCGCGGCCTCGGTAGTTCAGCTCTACGTCTCACACGGAACGCAAGGCGGAGCCCACTCGTGGTCCAAGGAATTGCTTCCGGGGCGCTGAACAGTACTTCCGGGACTCCGTAGCTACGGTCTGCAATCGCTTAGAACTAGGGACTGTGCCTTCGAGACGATGCTGCTCCGAACAACTTGGAGGCGGGTGGCTGCGGCGGTGTCAGTCGCTCCGGGCCCGAGAGCCGAAGCGCCCACTCGGGGTCTGCGCCTGCGCGGTACGCCCCGGGTTCCGCTCGCTCCCACCCTCGCAGAAGGAGCGGACCTTTATCCTGCGCGCCGCGACGCACCTGAATATTCCATAGCCTCCCTCTTATGCCCGCAACCCAGAAGCTCTGATTCTTCCCCTTGGCTGTACCCCTCCAGCATTCTCAGGCTGGCCTTCTTAGTAACTTCGCTGCGACCCCCGTCTGATCCCGTCCTGCAGACCCTCAGTGCCTTTGAGACTTGGCCTTCATACTTCTGGCCAACTTTTAGAGGTGCCAGTTGTTTAGCCAGATTAATCTTTATAGGAGATCTTACCTACAATGTCTCCACATTCCTTCTAAATGTCTTTGCCCTTTCAGAGGTCTCCCCATTCCCAACGATGCAATTTGAATATTGTCCCAACATCCCTCTCTAAGAACCCTTTCTCTGCTCTTATCTTCTTTCACAGTGCTCAAATCCTGTTTTCTTTCCTTTTTCATTAAGATTCAACCCCAGCATTCCTTAAATTTCTGTCCATCCGGCCTTTGCCTTCTGTTGTCTTGAATACCCTGTGTCCATAGTTTCATCCTTTCTCACTTGGCCCCTCCGTGCCATATTTTTGTCAGTTTTAGACCATGCTCCCCAGTCTGCTGTTCCCTCAGATACAGCCACTGCTCCGGAGGTGGAGTCAGTGCTGCGACCTCTGTATATGGATGTGCAAGCCACAACTCCTCTGGTAAGGATGGACGGGCAGCTTTTCCCAATGCTGTTTATAGGAATTACAGTGTAAAAGTGGTAATATACAGAAATGGCTGGATCCTTGTAGAACTAAGTGCCATTGATGCGTGTGTGCTGGGAAAAGCAGTGAGCCAGGAATTAGGAGGCTTAAGTTATAGTCCATTACAAATGGCTCAGCCACTTCCAAGCTATTGATCTTTTCAAATCATTCAGTGCAGGCACTATAGTACTAGTTAAAAGCATGGGCTTTTGGAATTAGCAGGACTGCTACTTAGTGACTGTGTGGATATGGGCAAGTAGTAAATGGATTAAAAAACACAAAACAGGCCTCAGTGGCTTGGCACATGATAAGCACTTGAATATTAATGCAAGGTTTCACCAACATATGGACTCACGTCCTAGCCCCTTGTAGATCAGACTTCCTAGTAGGAATGGAAACACCTGCAGAAATGGCTGTCAGGACAAGACAATGTTTGTAGATTTCCTGGGGAGATGGTAGACTAGCCTGATTGAAGGTGGATTGGGAATGGGAGTATATTACGTTGATAATTTGTTTAGTATCTGAGGAACTGTCGGAACGTTTGCAGCCTAATCTAGGCAAAGTCTGAAGGTTTGAGTGTGTTTGGGGACGTCTGAGGAAATGGACTGGGACCTGAGTTAACTATGGGCTCAAGAAGACTGATCTGTTCTGTTGTGTTCAGGACCCTCGGGTGCTTGATGCCATGCTTCCTTACCTTGTCAACTACTATGGGAACCCACACTCCCGGACACATGCTTACGGTTGGGAGAGTGAGGCAGCCATGGAACGTGCTCGCCAGGTTAGTGCAGATGATTCTAGGAGGTACTGATGGCAAGATTCAATGGCCTGTGGGAGGCATTTTCTTCTCTGTAAGTGTGGGTGGAAGTAGAAATGGTTTGGGGCTCTTTCAGAAAGACATTCAGAGAGCAGACCTTGGAGTCCCCCTGAAGGCATTTGATAAGTTCCCACATTTCCTAGCTAAATGACCTTTGGCAAGTTATCTAATTTTTCTAAGCCTCAGTTTCCTTATATTGCAAATGAGATTTTAATAGTTCCTACTGCCTAGTGTTATTGGGTGAATTAAATGAGACAATGCTAGCTATGATGTATTTACTAACATATATATGAGCTATATATATCTCAATGGTGATTTCTTAAAAACATCAATATTATTCTTATTATTTTGTATTAATGGGCTGGAAAAGAGCCTGGGATCTGGGACAAAATTGAATTTATTCTTGCCTGACCCTAGTAGGTGCAGAGCTTCTTCTCGGGCAGTTGATAGAATGCGGTGGAGCTTTTCTTGATCTAGAGCTCTGTCCTAGCTGTGTTCTATAACCACTACTTTCCTGGGGAACTGATGTTACTTATCTCTGTTTCTTGGTTTGCAGCAAGTAGCATCTCTCATTGGGGCAGATCCTCGTGAGATCATTTTCACTAGTGGTGCTACTGAATCCAATAACATAGCAATTAAGGTAAGAAAAGGGAATCAGGGGCATATCGTGGCTTTGTTGACTTGGGAGATGGTGTTCTATCATCTGGGCTTATGCATGTATTTCCCAGCCACCCATTCCCACCCTATTATAAAGAGAAGACACAAGCACAAACTCTTTCTGATTTTTTTGCTTCCTCAACCCTTTGCTCCTATTGAACTGAGGTAAGTTTAGTAAGGTAGTTGGATAGGAAAGGAGGTGGCTCTTGGACCATTAACCACTTGATTTTTTTGGACAGCACCTACTTCAGAGATGAAGTGATTTGGTCACAGTGAAGTCCAGAATGCACTTGTAATTGGGCATGTTTCTTAGCTATATATATGATTTCAGAGCTGCCCTCCTCTCAGCCTTCCCTTTTTTTCCTATTCAGATATGTTTGTAGCAAGTTTCTCCCATTTCTTTTTTTTAAAAAATATTTTATTTATTTTTTAGAGAGGAAGAAGGGAGGGAGAAAGAAGAGAATCATCGATGTGTGAGAGGTACATTGATGAGGTGCCTCTCGCATGCCCCCAGCTTGGGAACTAGCCCACAACCCAGGCATGTGCCCTGACTGAGAGTCAAACCAGCAACTCCTTGGTTCTCAGGCCGGCACACAATCCACTGAGCCACACCAGCCAGGTCTCCACCTGTTTCTTTAGATGCCCCCGTTTTCAAGTATTGGTTTTTGTGGCATTCACTTGGTCACCCATTCTGGGATAAGTCACTCTCTCCTTGGAACATAAAGATATTTGGTACTTACAAAAGTAAAATGCCACTCTCAGTAGTCAGTGTTTCCTAGAACAATCACCTTTGATTGAGCCTGGTTACCAGGATCACTTGTGTAAATGCTCTGGTTCTGATCAATTGTGGGCTGTTGTTAGTTCAACTCCTCCACCACCTCACACTGTTGTCTTGCAATGGTGCTTCCAGTTTTTTTTTGTTTGTTTGTTTGTTTTTTTGACCTGTCGTAAATGTAGGAGGCTTGGGACAGGCTCCAGAAACATCAGCCTTCTGCCTAATCATGTTAGCAGGAAATTGTCCTTTCTTTGTTTTGCAGAGACCACAGAGCCAGGTCCCTCCAAAGAATGGGGATGGTTTTCAAACTTTGAAAATGTTTGTTTTGAAAGGTTCCATGGGTCCCAAACCTAGGTTAAGGATTGCTAAGAATAGTTGTGACAGTATTCTCATTAGTCTCCTGGATAGGTAGAGTAAATATATATCTGCTATTAGAGCATTCTACACTGTGGGTAAGTGGGATAGGAGAAGGGGAACTTTGAAATGTTTTTCTTTTTTTGTTCCCTTGTCTTTAAGAGCATATACTTTTTATGTTGTTTTAAATTTAGCTTAATTGTTTTTATATTCTGCTTTTAAGGTAGTGTTCTATTATAAGTTCTAGAGGAATGGGGTTTCACATTTTATTTTTTAATTTTTAAAAAGTAATTAATGTATTTGTGGTAAGATTTTTTAACTCTGTAGAAAAGTTTAACATAAAATGTAAATCTTTCTCCCCTATTCTGACCCCGAGTCCTGCTCCATGAAGTTAATTCTACACTAAATCTGTTTAGCGTTGTCCCAGAAAAAAAACTCTACATATATACAAATTTGCTTTTAATATTTTCACAAATTGTAGCATGTCATATTTATTCTTCTGTAGCTATTAATAACATATCCTATGTCCTTTCATTCCCAACTCCATTATTTTTAATATCACTACATTCTTGTTTATGAAGTTGTGTTATTACAACTTAGTATTTATTTTATTATTCCTTCTCTTTTTGAATGTGTTTAACCTTTCCATTTTTCTTGAGTATTATAAACACTACTAAGGCATATTTTGTCTCTATTGCTTCACCTATTTCTGCAATATTTCCCTAAGGTAAACTCCCAAAAGAGGAATCACAGTTAAAGAATGTGAATACAGCTTTTAAGACATAATTCTACATAATTCTCTGAAGAGTTATAGCATAAATACTGCCATAAGCAGTGAGTGTATGAGTTTCACTTCTACACTGCCAGCTTTGAGTATCATTATCACCATATTTGCATGTTTTGCTATTTAAATAGAAATAAAACAGAGAGGCTTTTGCTTGGGGGAAAAGGATAAGCATGTTCCCTATTTTCCACCTGTGAATATATTTGGTCTTTGTTCTCTGTTCCTGGTACAGAGCTTCAAAAACCTTTGGAGTTTCCTGGATGATAAGATTGTCATTTCTTATTCAAAACAAGCCCCTTTGGACCTTATCCGAGTTTATGGTAATGAGGTGATTCATGGTGGGCCCTTAGTTTCTTTCCTTTTTTTTTTCTTATTTTTTATTTTTTAATTGATTTTAGAAAGAGAGAGGAAGCAGAGAGCAAAGAAGGAGAGACAGTAATTTGCTGTTCCACTCATTTATATATTCACTGGTTGATTCTTGTATGTGCCTGACAGGGGATCGAACCCACAACCTTGGCATATTGGGGACAATGCTCTAAACAACTGAGCTACCTGGCCAGGGCAATGGGCCCTTAGCTTCAAGGGAAAGGCTGGTTGGTCACTCCAGAACTATCAAGGATGTGATTAGAGGAGTGGAACTTCTAGCTCCGAGAGTGGGACTGGAGATTGAGTTCAGTCCTGTGGCCAAAGATTAAATGACTCATGCCCACATAATGAAACCCCCATAAAAACTCTGGACAACGAGGCTTGGAGGAGCTTCCAGGTTGGTGAACTCATGGGTGTGCTGAGAAGGTGGTGTGCCTAGCTAGATTCCACAAGGAGACAGCACAGAAACTCTGTACTCCTCCTCACTCCAGACCTGACCCTACGCATCCCTTCCATTTGGCTGTTCCTGAGCTGTATTCTTTTATTATAAAACCCTGATCATAAGCACAGCACTTTTAGTGAGTTCTGTGAGTCATTCTAGTGAATTACTGAACTTTATAGGGCTGTGGGAAGCCCTGGATTTGTACCAAGCTGGGCAGAAGTATGGATGGTGCTTGTGACACCCAGGACTTGTGGCTCGCATTTAAGTGGGAGCAGTCTTCTGGGACTGAGCCCCTTAACCTGTGGGATTTGCGTTTAACTCTGGGTGTTAGCATCAGAATTAAATTGATTTGTAGGATACCCAGTCAGTGTCAGAGAATTGATGTTGGAGCCTACCACCCTTGCCCACTTTCCTTTACAAATGGGATTGAAGTCATTGCTATATCTCTGACTATATTCTCCTTCCTTCTACCACCACCATTTATAGGGGGTGGCCAGGTTTTACAGGTCACGGAAAAAGCACTTGATCACCACCCAGACAGAACACAAATGTGTCTTGGACTCTTGCCGTTCACTGGAAGCTGAGGGCTTTCGGGTCACCTACCTCCCAGTGAAGAAGAGTGGGATCATTGACCTGAAGGTAGGACTGGCTCCTGGTGGGAGGGAAAAATTCGGAGGAGCATGGCTTCAGTCTATAAATCTCCCTCTTCAGCCTCAGCTCAAGCCCAAAGGAAGGACTAGCGCCAATGATGAGAATGTGTCTTAGAGAAGTAGGCCTGGCAGAGAAAATGACAGTGTATTTGTTGGGGTGGTCGGTGATGTGGGCTGTGAAAGAATTCACAAAGAGAAGAAAGTGTAGGCAGGGGTGTCCAAACTTTTGGCATCTCTGGGCCACACTGGAAGAAGAGTTGTCGTGGGCCACACATAAAATACACAAACACTAACGAAAACTGGTGAGCAAAACAAGGCTTTAAGTAAATTTACAATCCTGTGTTGGGCTGCATTCATAGCCATCCTGGGGTGCAAGCGGCCACAGGCTGCAGGTTCGACACCACTGGCTGAGAGCCAAGTTTTCATGCATGCTTCAAGAGAGGAGAGGGGCTTGGTGCAGAGAGATACACCAGCACTGAGGGGTGGGGGCTTTGAACTTTTCTTGGATTATGAACGGGGGAGATTGTGGATGTGCTGCCTCTAGGCTGTTTGGGGGTCGTTGTAACACAGAAGGTTTTGATTGGTTTTGCAGAAGCTGCAGTTTGCTCCAAAGTTATCTTTTGCCTGCAGCTCTAGGTTGTGGGGAGGGGCATTAGTCCTTCTGTTCTTGTTTTCCAGTAATTACCAGTCCTGGGGATAGAAGCTCAGAAGAGTAAAATGGCAGTCGTGTTTAACAAGGTCATAGGCCTGCATAGCAAATGGCACCACAACAGCAAATGATGCAGGCTTTATCATTTCAACATTCCCCTTTGATTTCTTCTGTCATCTTCCTTTTCTCCGAGGATTTATTTCTCAGCTTTGTTGGTGCTTCCTGGTTTGTGTGGGAGCCACTGGACATAGTGCAGGATGCCAGGGGCTCATATCATGGCAAAGCTCTGTCCTCCTCCTCCCTTACGCTGATGTCTCTCTCCACTCTAAAGAGGGAGGGTAGTTTTTAGAAGAATGTTTCCCACTTTGCACCATATCTTTATATGTACATTTCAGCTAGTGAGTCCAAGCACTTAGCCCACCAGATTTTGGATCCTAGCATCCCTAGATAAATCCTAAGATACAGTTTGTAGACAGAACCCTGTATTGTACACTTGGAATTAAGGTGGGAACATAAGGATTACATGAAGATGGAAGAAAACAAGGTGGAGAAATCTCTATGATTGGTTTTCAGGATAATTAACAAGATTATGTGCTCTAAGGGTGCTTACACCTCTGAGGGGTGTGGAAAAGAGGATTACTCTGGCTTTTCAAAGGTGTGTTAACCTAGATGGCCTAGAAAATGGATAGGAAGTGCTAAGGCAAAGCTAAACCTTTTATTAAGGAAGTTATAGGCCTGGGGCAGGAGCAACCACCACACCAGCTCAATTAGGATTTTGTTTGTTTGTTTACTAATAGGTACCCAGTAGTACATATTGTTTTGACTTAAAACAATTTTTTAAATTGATTTTTTAGAGAGAAGAGGGAAGACAAACATCAATTTGTTCTACTTATCTATGCATTCATTGGTTGCCTCTTGCACGTGCCTTGGCTGGAGATCAGACTTGCCACCTTGGCGTATCTGGATGACACTCTAATTAACTGAGCTCTCAGGCCAGGGTCCAGTTAGGAAATTTTTTTTAAGTTTTTATTTATTTATTTTTAGATAGTGGGGGAGGGAGAGAGAAAGAGAGGGAGAGAAACATCAATGTGTGGTTGCCTTTCATGCAACTCCTACTGGAGACTTGGCCTGCAACCCAGGCATGTGCCCTGACAGGGAATTGAACTGGCGACCTTTTGGTTCACAGGCCAGAGCTCAGTCCATTGAGCCACACCAGCCAGGGCCAGTTGGGAAATTTTTGACCAGATCACCATATGAAGTTACTTTTGGTCACTGATTTAGCACAGCTCTCCTTTTTGTTCACAAGTTTTACAAAGAACAAAAACTGCTGAAGTGTTTTCCATTGTCGCTGTACCATTTTGTGTTCCCACGAATAGTGTACGAATGATAAAATTTCTTTGCATCCTCGCCAGCATTATTGAATTGTCACTATTCTTATTTAAGCCATTTTGATAGGTATGTAGCAAAAGACTCCTTTTCAAGGCTAAGCTTGTCTACATTCTTAGTTAGGGAGGACTACTTGGTAGTACTATATAGTCTCCTTACTCCTGTTACTCTTAGGACCTGGAAGCTGCCATTCAGCCCGATACCAGCCTGGTCTCAGTCATGACTGTGAACAATGAGATTGGAGTGAAGCAGCCCATTGCAGAAATAGGTGAGTATCCTGGATACTCACCTGTTGCTTGCCTACCACTGGGATTCTTCTGAGGAGCAGGAGTGGACTGGGCGCTATAATACTTCATAGAGTGCAGTGAGAAAATCTGGGGAAAGAGACATGTTGTAAATGGCATAGCCAGTATTTATAGCCAGGTCTAGTACGTTTTATGTTCTTTTCATTTTTCTGCAGTTGGTGCAGTAAACAAAACAAAAAAAGAAAAGAAAAGAAAACATCTACTCTTTGTTCTCTTCCTCTTTGACCTTTTTCACTTTTGGATATCTCTTTGTTATGCTCACTTAGTGCCAGAGACTCGCCCTGTAACCTTTAAGTCACATTAGCAACTCTGTCTGTTAATTTCTGCCTCTTTTAAATAAAAAAGAATATGAACATTAATCTGATATATTGAAAGACCAGTGTTGAAGAGAGAAAGAGAGAGGGGAGAGAATGATTTTTATGGTTAGAGGCTAATGCCTGACACAGTTTTGCCCTAGAACTCATGGTACATTGTGGGACTACTGCTAGGTGACTTTCCAACATTGTTGTTTCCTCAGGGCGGATTTGCAGTTCCAAAAAGGTCTATTTCCATACCGACGCAGCCCAGGCTGTTGGAAAAATCCCGCTTGATGTCAACGACATGAAAATTGATCTCATGAGCATCAGTGGTCACAAAATCTATGGTCCCAAAGGTACCAGCCCCTTCTAGAGTTCCTCTGCTCTGCACCTCCCAGTAAACCCTTTGACAGGTGTTCCTTGGATCCATTTGGGTCTACCATTTCTCTCAGTTGTAAATTCAGAGTGCCTTGCAGAATGCAAGTGTTATTTATTTATTTATTTATTTTTTAAATCATTAGAAAAAGTTTACTTAGAAAGTTACAGAAGTAGTAGAAGTGAGCCATCTGGGCTGCGTAGGCTGGGATAACAAGTTACAGAGTCAGAAGAAAGGGCCTTTGGACAAGGCTTAGGAGAGGGGAAGGTGAAGGTAATGGTCTTTGGGGAAAGAAGAAGGGGGTGGGAAAGGCTTGGAGGGGTGCTACAAGTGTCACTGAGCAGCAGCCGAGAACACTTGTGTATTTGTAGATCCTCATAGTTGCCATGTAGCATACCATTCTTCCCTGTCCTCTTTAGAAAATCCTGAGAAAGCATGTAGACGTCAATTTGGTTGAGGATCGGGGGTTATGTCCAGCTACCTTGCCTCCCCTCTATGCAGAGTAACATTCTTTGAGTCCTTCATTCCCCTCTGTCTTGCATTAGTGTAGAGGAAGGTTGTGTGGGTTGTACATCTCTTGGTGTTTGTTCCTAGACTTGGTCGTCTGTGCTCCTGTTCGTCTCTCAAGAATACTTGTTTATTTCATGGGGTCTTGGCCTACGAAAGTTTTCTAGCTAGAATTCTGCCTCTTTACGCCAGCTTTGTGAAAATACTGTTGTCCTCTATTTTATGGAGGTAGCCATAAAAAACAAACAGTTCCTCCCCTTGTCTCTGGGGTGAGGTCCTGTGATGGTTGATAATGCTAGTACCCTTTCTGTGTCTGCAGGGTATATCATCTGAGTGTACACCCTGTGGGAAAAAGTGTGCTAGCTCCTGGCAGTATGTAAGATGACTTCTTCTAAAGGTTCCCAGAGGTGGCAAAGTGTTTTTGTAAGCTACTATTTTAAAAAGCCCAACTGCCATTCTATCTTTAACTAAAGTTTGCTTTTATTGCCTTTCATTGAAGATATAGATATATATGTGTGTGCCCCCAGCTGGGGATCGAACCCGAAATGTAGGTATGTGCCCTGACCAGGGATCAAACCTGCAACCTTTTGGTGTATGGGATGATAATCCAACCAACTGAGCCACCCAGCCAGGGCAGGAGCTACTTTATTTTTATTTTTAAATTGTTTTTAATTTATTAATTTTAGCGAGAAAGGGGGAGGGGGAGAGAGAGAAAAACATTGATTTGTTGTTTCACTTATTTATGCATTCACTGGTTGTTTCCTGTATGTGTCCTGCGCAGGGATCAAACTTGCAACCTTTTTGGAGTATGGGACAACACTAGGCAACTGAGCTGCCCTGCCAGGGCAAGGAGTTACTTTAAACATAAAATGAGCCTTTACTCCTTCTGCTAGTTACCTTTCTGATGTTAAATAATTTTGATAAATATTATGTATGCTTTTGCTGTGTTTTTTTCTTTTCCCTCAGCTCTTTTTATTTAAAAAAATTCAAGCTTACATAAAAGTTGAAAGAATATTTTTGACCCCTTTAGAAAGTGATATTTTATTTCATCTGAACTTTTCTTTTTCTCTTTTTTGTAACAAACTTTGTTTCCCAGGAGTTGGTGCCATCTATATTCGCCGTCGGCCCCGTGTGCGTGTAGAGGCCCTGCAGAGTGGAGGGGGGCAGGAGCGGGGTATGCGGTCTGGGACAGTGCCCACACCCTTGGTGGTGGGGCTGGGAGCCGCGTGTGAAGTGGCACAGCAAGAGATGGAGGTATGGAGAGACCAGTTCCTTTTCATGGCTTTTTCCCCTGTGCTGGGCCCCCTGTTAGAGGTTTCTCAGCATGACTGAGTCAGATCCCCACCCCAAGAGGAGGTTTAAGAAAACCATCCTTGTTCTGGTGCTGCTGGCATCTTGTTCTAGAGAGCGGTGTTATGGACTCCAAAATCCAGGCCCTTTCAGTAGATACCAGCTCATTTATTTTTGGCATATTAGAACCATGTGTCTAGTTACTTAGCACCTTTGCATATCAGGTGCTGTGCTCAGTGCTAGGGATACAGTGTTCTCCATGAGTAACACAGGATGATAGGTGGGTCTGATGCAGAGTCATTTCTGGGCACAGGAGGATTCCTCATCCAATGTGTTTCTGTGCTGTTGGTGGTCACTATGCTTAGTTCTCCCTTGCTTGTTCCTCAGTATGACCACAAGCGAATTTCAAAGTTAGCAGAGCGGCTGACACAGAAGATTATGAAGAGCCTTCCAGATGTGGTGATGAATGGGGACCCTGAGCACCATTACCCAGGTATAAACATGCCCTTTCTATTCCCATTCTGAAAGAGTGTGAGACTCTGAGACTCCTATCATAGTGGTTCTTTCTTCCAGGCTGTATCAATCTCTCCTTTGCCTATGTGGAAGGGGAGAGTCTACTGATGGCACTCAAAGATGTTGCCTTATCTTCGGGGAGGTAAGTTGGACCAGACAGATAGGAACTGTGGTAGGACTGATTAGCTTGGCTTCTAAGTGTTATAACAGATTATTAAGCTTCCCAGTATAGAGATGGCAGGCACAGGAGCTCTTAGTTAAGAGCAGAGGTCATTTTGTAAGCATCTCTTTTTTTAGCTAGCTGGGCACAGGCTAAAGTTTGCCACTCTAAGAGGGTTTCCTGGGGTAGAATTTTATGCCTTTTGTTGACCCAGGAGATGCATGTATCTGTTCTAGTATTATATTAATAGTGTTGTGGCAGGCCTCCTAGAATTGAAGTATGCTTTAAAGGCCACCAAGGGTTTTAAAAGCTGACATTTAGGCTGGTAGAGTATGGTGTGTTCAGGCATAGGGGAGTGAGCACATGTTCTGCTGCCTCTTGTCACACTAGCTCATGTGGTGTCACACTGTGGCAGTGTCCTTGCTCAAGGAGTTTATCCTTCATATGGGCCAGAGGAGCTAGATCCATATCCCAGAAGGTGCAGGTCGCATCAGGCCCTTTAGCTCTGACAAATGAGAATGTCTCTTTTGTCTCCATGGTATGACTTCAGGGACATGGGAAGTGGGACCAAACAGGGGTTTGGGGCCAAAAGCAGATGTTTATGATGAAATGAGCAAGGCTCTGTGTCTTTCTCCTCAGTGCCTGCACCTCTGCATCCCTGGAGCCCTCTTATGTCCTTCGAGCAATTGGTGCTGATGAGGACTTAGCTCACTCTTCTATCAGGTCAGTCAGTTGAGCTGCACCCTCTTTTGTGTATTTCCTCTCCTGTTTTCGTGTTCCTCAATCTAGTTTTCCTTATCTCTTCTTAATTCTTCATGAAAGTTTCTGGAGCAGTGATTTTTCAGACATCATTGAATATCACCTGGGAAGTTTGTGCAAGATACAGATTTCTGAGTCCCACACTCAGAGATTCTGATTCACTGGGTGTGGAGGAGTAGGAAACATCTCAGGTGATTCTGATGTGGCTGGTTCACAAACCATAGAAACTCTGAAACACTCTGACCTAGAGTGGGAGCACCATGCTCTCTCCATGTTCTTTGTAGAGTAGAGCCTCACTGAGTATTTGCTGAAAGAACTCATCTCGGCGCCAGAGCTCTGATGCAGAGCTCTTCCCCTGTGCCTTTTTCAGGTTTGGCATTGGCCGTTTCACTACAGAGGAGGAAGTGGACTATACAGTGGAAAAATGCATTCACCATGTGAAGCGTCTTCGAGAAATGAGGTATGCACTGCTGTACCAGAAAGAAATGGCAGTGCTGGCTCCTCTCTTGTCCTTGTGCTCTTGTGTTCACACAGCCGGAAACTAATGTTACTTGGATTTTAGGATTTAGGTGTTCCACAAAGCAAGAAACTGGATATCCTCGGCTACTTGTTTTCACAATATGAAAAAATGTTTTTAAAAACTAAAGAAGCACATTCATTTAGATGTTTTTCATTATTGTTACTGATAGTATTAACAGTTGTCATTGTAGTGATATCAATACAAAATTTGTGACCTCCAGATTAAATATAGGACAACTCCCAATTAATATAGGATTCTTGGCCTAGGAGCCAATGTTGGCAGCTTCCTCTCTAAGCCATTACTCATCCCATACCTATTCTCTTTGGCAGCCCTCTCTGGGAGATGGTGCAGGATGGCATTGACCTTAAGAGCATCAAGTGGACCCAGCACTAGAAGAAAGGACCTCTGACATTGTGCTAGCCTGACTGCTCCTGCCTCATCAACCCATGCACAGCCCAGCACCTTGTTACACCCAGTGGGTGTTTCATGTTAAAACCAGAATTGTTATAATCAGTTGACTTCAGCATCAGCTCATCTCCAAGGCAAAAACACAGGAATACTATCTTTCTGGGGGTCTTGGCTGCTTTGGTAGGGAACACTCCTCCCTATTTCTCTCCAGGAGTCCTTTTCTGCTCTAATGAGGGGGTGTCTCACCCTGAAACAGGAGGAACATTTGTTATGATATTGCTGCTGGACACGTCTATATCCTTGGTGGGATGAGCCAAAACTGAAAGAAGGCTCTTTGTTCAGGGACCCTGGTGCTGCACTTGGACATTTGAGTTGTCACTTACAGCCATGAGCAAGACTGATTCCTTCGGGAACAAACGTAATCAACTATGATTTAATCTTTTTTTGTGGCCCCAAAGGCTACCTTTTCATATCAATTGTAGACTAAACAGATCTTAGAAAGCTTGTCTTTTCTCTATCCTTGTATTCTTTTCTTTTGACCTAGTAGAGTGAGAAATACCTCTTTGATCCTACCTATTATTCTAATAATTTGATTCTTTTTAAAAGTTTGTTAATTTGCAGATTGGAGAAGTAAAATCATATTCCTCTATTTATTCTGTGACTTTATGAGAAGCCCAAGGAAAATTTCAAGATGTGCTTGGGAATTGTGGAGCAGACTACTACTACAATTGATTTCCATAGATGACTCAGTCTGCTTGCATATCTCTTCTTTCAACAGTTATTTGAGTGCCTGTCAGGAGCCTGATATTGTTCTGGACCAAAAAGGACCTTGCCCTCATTCTTGTGGAAAGACAGAAAACAAAGAGTAAACAAATAAGGCTATTATAGATTGTGATGAGTGCTATGAAAGAATTAGAGAAGTAAAAGGAAATAATGGGGAAAAACTACTATGCTGAGTATACTATGAAAGCTTTTTTGAGGAGGTGTTAGTTAAGCAAAAATGTGATTTCCAGTCATGGATAAAGCTAGGAATGAGGGAGGGATGAGAAAGCAGCAAAAGCAAAGGGACTGAGGTATGCAAAAGCATGGTGTATTTGAGAAACCAATAGGCCAGTGCAGCTAGTATAGAATTTTTCCATTTGTGGGTCTGAAACCATAAGTGGGTAGTTACCAACAACACATACAAATGAGAGTAAAGTAAATTAGACTACATTACACATATTTTAAATATTCTATAATTATATATTTGCATGCATATGCCAAGTTGGAAATGTATTGCTTATGTGGGTGGTGGTCAAAAGAGTTTGAAAGCCACTAAGCTAAAGTATGGTAAATGCAGATAAGGGAAGAAGATGAAATTAGAAAAGTTTTTAAAATAAAATTTAAATTTTGCATAATTTTATGTATGTATTTATTTTTAAAGATTTTATTTATTTTTAGAGAGGTGGGAAGGGAGAGAGAAAGACAGGGAGAGAAACATGGATGCGTGAGAGATACATAAACCGGTTACCTCGTGCATGACCCCAACTGGGGTCCTTGCCTGAAACCCAGGCATGTGCCCTGACTGGGAATCGAACTGGCAACCTTTCAGTTCACGGGCCGGCACTCCATCTGCTGAGTGACACTGTCCAGGGCTATGTATTTATCCTTTTGATTTATTGATGAGAAACATTGATTTGTTCTTCCACTTATTTATGCAGTAATTGGTTGCTTCTTGTATGTAACCTGACCTGGGATCAAACCCACAACCTTGGTATATCGGATGACAATCTAACCAACTGAGCTACCCGGGTAGGCCTGTATTTTGAACAATTTCAGATTTTGCAAAAGGTTGCAAAGATAGTACCGAGTTAATATACATCACCCAACTTAACACTGGTTAAGACCCCTGATTTTTTATTTTTTTAACTTTTCTTTAAAATATTTTATTTATTTACTTTTAGGTAGAGGGGAAAGGAGGGAGAAAGGGAGAGAAACATCAGTGTGTGAGAGCGATACCCACAGTTGCCTCTTGTACACCCCTAACTGGGGACTTGGCTCAAATCCCAGGCATGTACCCTAACTGGGAATTGAACCAGTGACATTTTGGTTCACAGTCTGGTGCTCAATCCAGAGTCGCACCAGCCAGGGTAGGGCCTCTGATTTTTTAAAAAATTAATTAATATACTTATTTTAGAGAAGAGGGAGAGAGAAACATCCTTTTGCTGTTCCACTTATTTGTGCATTCATTGGTTGATTCTTCTATGTGACCTGAGCAGGAATGGAACCCACAACCTCCGGCCTGGTTCCTGACTTTTTTAGTTGATCTTTACTTTCTGTCTTGGAAGATTAGTTCAATTACGTTGACATTCATCAAGATAAAGGGTATACACAGAGCCAGTGGAGTCTGGGAGGCCTGGATAGAAGCAGCATCAGAATAATTTTGTCTATAGTAAAATAATACTGAAGTGCATCTGTAGATGCGTTAATGAAGGTGGATAAGGCTTCCCTGATTTAAATTTTTTAAAAAGGTTTTATTTATTTTTAGAAAGAGGGGAAGGGAGGGAGAAAGGGAAACATGATGTGAGAAACATGGATTGGTTACCTCACTCAGGAGCCCCGAGCTTAGTTACCGAACCGCAGCCCAGGCATGTGCCTTGACCAGGAATCGAATCAGCAACCCTTGGCTCTGCAGGACGACGCCCACACAGGTCAGGGCCCTGATTGAGATTTTTTAATGGAAAAAATCAGGCTTTTGTTCTTCCGTCAGGGAATCAACAGAACTAGACACCACTTTATGGTACTTTTAATTCTCAACCATGCGACGTAGGTACAAGATAGTTCCCTCCTTTCGCAAAGGCTTAAAGAATTGAAGCGATTTGCAGAGTCCCGCAGGGAGGGGCCGATCCAGATACTGTACCCATCCCACCACCAGAACCTCTCTCTTAAGGCCCGGCTAGAGCGCAAGAGTCGCACTCAAGGACTCAAAGCTCTTCCCCGGACAAACACCCGCAAGTTCCGGGAGATTGCACGAAACCCTCAGTACGCTTGCGCCGTCTCGTCCGTGACGTCAACTACCCCAGCCCGCCCCTTCTGGAACGCGGACCTGCGGAGCGGGCTGGCGGCCATTTTGTGAAGCGGCAAAGGTGGTGGTGGCTGCTGTAGGCTCCGGAAAGCCGTTCGCGCAGGGGCTGTCGGCCGCGGGGCGGAGGCACTCGCGCGGGGGGTAACTCGGGTCTGGGTTCGGGTGCCGCGCAGCGCTCCCCGGTAAGACTCCCGCAGCCCCGGAACGGGCGGGGCTGTGCGGGGCTCGAGCCGCCCCTTGGTGGCCCGGGGCGGGGCCTTCGGAGGCCTCTGAGCTCGCGGCATCGAGCGCCCCACACAAAAGGGTCGGGTACGGCTCCGGGGGGCCTGGAGCGCCACTTGTGCCTCTGAGTCCTGAGCGTATGCAAGAAGGACGCAAGAGAGGATGAGCCTGCATACCGAAGTGGGGACGAGGCTATAGCGAGGACGCCCCCGTGGTCTGAGAGGGAGGAGGCCAGAGCTGGGTAGCCCAGCGGCCTACGAACTAAAGGGGACTGCAGTGAAATCACACCTGTATTCCAAGTGAGCAAGATTTTCTATGACCCCAAAGAGGGCAGAGATTGTAACTACATCTCTGTTTTCCAAAGTGAGGGGATCGTAGTGAGGACACTCCCTCCACCCGAAGTGGAAAGGAGGCCCTGTGGCTTACCGGGAAAGGGAGTGTAACTAGGACACACCTGTGGGGAGGAAGCTTTAGTCGGTACATTCCTGTAAATCTAGGGAGGAAGTCTTCACTGGCCGAATTCGTGGCCTGAAGGTGGAGGGGCTTGTAGTTGAAATGATTCCAAGGCCCAACGCTGGGGCAGGGCTTATCCTCGAGGGTATCCCTTGGGGGACAGCCTCCAGCGTTGAAGGAGGAGGGTGTCCAATGGGTTGTGGACTGGGGGTGCTTTTGATGCCGAGTGAATTGAGTTTCCCTGGTGAAGGCTGGACGTGCTGGTTTGCAGCCACGTGAAATGGGTGGGAGGAGCTTTTACGATCTACAGGTTAGTGACGGGATGGGCACAGTGCAGAGGCGTAGCTGCTAGATTGTAAATGTATGAGGTCTATGTGCCATCAATGTGTGCTTTATAGTGAAAAAATCTGAATGTTTTGGTGTTGAGGGTTATTCTGGGTTATTCAGCGCTAAACCGTATTCTGGGATTGTGTACTGAGAGTTGCAGGCCCTGCAAGAGAGATTTCTAGACCCTAAAACCCTCCTTTGGCTCCTGGATTCCCAGAGATCACCTGATGTAAATTGGGGTAGTTGGTAGGAACGGTTCTGTATTATTCAAGATAAGGGTGATGCCATTTAGTATAACCGAAAAAAAATGTGATTGCAACTGAAGGTTTGTTGGCGAGACTTGTGACGGGAGTATTTCTCACAGCACTTGCTTGACTGGTTTAAAATGGTGCCGTTTTTGTAAGATGCAGTATTAGCAACGTGAATTGCCTTTGTTATCTAGTTTTTATTGTTAATGCATTGTAGAGAAAATTGAGAAAAATTGTACAAGTCTGGACATACAGGTCTATCTCGTTTCGGTTTTTCAATTACAGAAATGTAATACAAGACTGGTTGTACTTGTTTTTGAAATTTGGTAGCTTTGATAGAACGGAGGATTTCTGGACTTTGTGGAAAGTAATTGTGTTCAGGTATTTTCCAAGAATATTAAAAAGAAGTTGGGAAGAACTGTTCTATAGGTGGTTAAAATAATTTTATGGTAATTAACTTTTGAAGAAAATGAAATGTTTAGCGTGTTTATATAAAAGTTGAGGATGTGCTTAGTATTGCTGGAAATTTTTTTAACGAAACAGAATGCATTTTCATGTCTCCTTATATGCTTGGTCAAATATTTTATTTTGTTTATGAATTATAATGCATAATTTCCATTTTTGGTACGTTCATATCTGTTAGGTGAAAAATGTGAAATTTTAGAAACCATTGTGGTAGTTACTTGGAACATACTATTATGTGCTAATACCAGTATACTTGAGGCCTTTTCACTTTCTTTGACATGCCAAATGTTTTGATTGTTGCATATTGAGAGTTTGGGGGCTGTTGGTACAATTTTTAGATGTGAACTTGATTTTTGTGGGCCAGTACGTTCTAGGTACTGAAATCCAGTGACAATTTCATACTGTTTTTATTCCATCATTCAGTTTAGATGAATATTTTTTGCAGCTGTTATAGGAAGAACTTCTAAGTGTCAGTAATGGTTGAACGAAAGATGGTTTTAGATCTCTCCCCCCAAAATCCAGGGGCTGTTGTACAATTGTGTATCTCCTGTGTGGCCCACAAGTACTTAATAAATGTTCATGGAATAAAATGAATATTGTTAAATGTTTTAGGTAAGCAGAAAAATAACTTACCTAATTAATAGTTCTGTCAGATTTTATTACCACTACCCACATACCTTTTGGTTTTCAGAGTTTAGTTCATTAAATTTATAGCCAGGTTTTAAGACTTCAGACAGCTAGTGAGGGTGAATGTGGTCCGCTAGGTTAGAAGTAATATTGTTACTTTGAAGTTTAAATCATGTAAGATAATGAACATTTTTGCTGGCATTTGTGGGGGGATTGAAAAATAATTTATTACAGTCTTTTTGGAAGG